CTATGTTCTTCCCCCAGATACCCACATGGGGAAGCATCTCAACTCCTTCCTCAAATCTCAAGCTCTCCAGGAGACCAACCGTGACCACCCAATTTAATACTTCAGTCTCTCTGGCAATCTGAATCCCCCGGGCCTGCTTTATTATTTTTTCTGTATCACTTATCACTTCCTTAACATACTGTACAATTTACTAATTGTGTTGTCTATTGGCTACTGCCTCCTACCTCAATGAAAACTCCACAAGGACAAAAATTTGTGTTCATTTTGTTCATTGATGTATTCTAAGCACACAGAACAACGCCTGGCACACAAGATGTACTCAAAAAATACTTTAAAAATTTTTTTAACATTTATTTTTTATAGACAGAGTGTGAGTTGGGGAAGGGCAAAGAGAAAGGGAGACACAGAATCTGAAGCAGGCTCCAGGCTCTGAGCTGTCAGCACAGAGCCCTACGCAGGGCTCGAACTCACAGACTGCAAGATCATGACCTGAGTCGAAGTCGGGTGCTTAACTGACTGAGCCACCCAGGTGCCCCAATAAATATTTTTTTAATGGATGAATGAACTTGAAACTCGATTTAAATTATGGACCAGAGACAGATTTGAGGTTGACAGAAGAAAAACTCAAATGGCCCAGGTACAAATGCCCCTAGACAATTAGCTACTCATAAAGGCTGTATTCTCTCTTTCAGATCTCAAGGAGGCTTATGTCATACAAACACTGGTGACTTTGTCATGATACTTGCCCCTACTAGAAGCAGGTACCAAGGAAGTAAGGAAGGCAGTGCCCACTATTTTTACTTTGTCTCTAGGTGACTCTATGCTGGGTTGTCCTGTCTTTTCCCTCGGGCTTTGTATGTCAAAGCAGTGTCTTGCAAATACTCCACGATTTAAGAATGGGAGAAAGCAAGTCAGTCAGGGCGAATGCTGCTGTCAAAATGCCCAATTTACTCCCATGGATGAAGCACAGGCTCTTACAAGTTAGAACTAGATGACTATCACGTATGTCCATGGTTGTCGGCCAAGGCTGCATTTTTGAATTCCTGAGGCACTTAAAATATATACCTTAGCTGCCCCTCCCTTCTGAGATGAATGGTTTGGGTGAGCCACAGCTCATAAAGGTGTCTCGGCTGATTCAAATGTGCAGCCAGAGCTGGGAGCCACGGACTGGGGTCAATATCATTTTCCGGATTAAGAATAAAGCCCAGAAAAAAATGAGATCTAAGGTCATGTAACTGAGCAGGCAGTATTAGGAGTGGAAACTGTTGCTTGATTCTTCAGAGAAACAGGAGTAAAGGAGAGATTTCATTACAGTATAACAATGTATGAGGCTATGTGTTAACAGTAGTTAAGTGCTAATATTTTCATTAAAATCATGGCATCTATATGTTCATAAATGAGAAAGTTTCTTTACTGGCAACTATCTTTAGAGCTTTGGATCAGGATGTGTTAAGCTAGTCTTGCACTGAATTAGGTACACTACTCTCTTACTATACTCCAAAATCTTGTGTAAACATTTATTCCTTCATTAAAATAACTGGGTGAACATGCAGTAAAAAAAAAAAAAAAGAAAGAAAAAGAAGAAGAAGAAAAAGATGATGACCATGACGAAGACCTCTTATGTCTTTCTTTACTTTGTCAACCAACTTTTCGACTTAAAACTTTTTTTGGTTTAAAAAACTTTGAGGAGCGCCTCGGTGACTCAGTAGGTTAAGCGTCCGACTTCAGCTCAGGTCATGATCTCGAGGTTCGGGAGTCCGAGCCCCCTTTGGGCTCTCTGCTGTCAGCACAGAGTCTGTTTCAGATCCTGTCTCCCTCTCTGTCCCTCCCCCACTCTCTCTTGCACCCTCTCTCAAAAATAAACATTAAAAAAACCCCAACTTTGAGTGGTAATGGCTATGTAACGATGGGAATATTCATACTGCCTCTGAACTGTATATGTTTAAAATGGTTAACACGTTACATTTTATGTTATGTATATTTAACCACAACTTTTTTAAAGAGAAGAAGAAAGAGAGAAAAGGGGAGGGGTTGAAAGAAATCTAGAGGAAGAGGTCCCCAAAAGGCATGTGACCGAGTCTGAGCGCCTGCTAGCAGACATTCAGGACAAGCCTGCTGGGAGGAAGGCGCCACTCGCTGGACGCTGAGGCCACCAGGGCCGCGAGGCTCCGCAAGGGGCACAGGAAGGAGGTCACTCTGGAAGAGTAACGGGTCCCCCCCCCCCACATCCACACAGAGCTGGTCTGTAATCGACGATGTGGGGCCCCACAAGGGTGACCTTCACGCTTCCTAGGACCTGGGTTGCATCCAAATGTCACTGTATTTCCATATCTAGGGCCCCTCCGAGAGAGAAGATAGTGAAGTTTCCTTCATACCACGTAGTTCAGGATCCTCTTAAACTTGGAATTAAGCTGATGGCAACCTTTTGGGTTTTTGTTAATGGCAAGTCAGCGTACCAACACTGAGGAGAACAGAAGAAGGCTGACACGCTCAGGGCACAGAGCCATGAAATAGCCACAGTATGCCTCTTTGCTCTGCAGTTGTCTTAAGAATATTGTGGGGATGAGCACGGGGTGTTATATGGAAACCAACTTGACAATAAACTATTAAAAAAGAAAAAAATATTGTTTAGTGTCTAAAACAAGTAGAACGGAAAATACCCTTTTTTTCCAGAAAATACCTTTGCCCACAACTGCAAAGTAATAAAATGTGTTCAGTCCAGCTTCTAAATGTATAGCCACACACGTAAATGACAAGGCAGTACTTCTTTAACGCATGAACTTTGAGGGGGCAGATTTTTCAAAAGACGATTGAGGCCAAATAAGGTTTTCTGAGAACAGTTCCCATGAATCTATCGAGCACCACTCAATACAATCTGACCCCAATTGATGCAGTTTACGTACCATACCTTAAGACATATTTCTACAGTGAAGAAATGCACAGCAATGCCCAGGATAAATGTTCAACAAGGGCCTGCTGAGGGAGAAGGCCCACATCTCCGTTTAAGTTTGTTTGGGTAACAGGGAGATGACAACACAGGCTAAAATCTCCTGATTTTTAAAAAAAAAAAATTTTTTAAGATTTATTTATTTTTGAGAGAAACAGGCAGAGTGGGGGAGGGGCAGAGAGGGAGACACAGAATCCAAAGCAGGCTCCAGGCTCCAAGCTGTCAGCACAGAGCCCGATGCGGGGCTCGAACCCACAAGCCGTGAGGTCGTGACCTGAGCCGAAGTTGGAGGCTCAACCGACTGAGCCACCCAGGTGCTCCATCTCCTGATTTGTTTTCTAAAGATAACAGGGCCTTATTTTGATTGCTACTGCAAAAGACCAAAATCTATTGTTGCGATTCAACGCAACAGACACTTTGGGATCCTCCTAGAAAGAATGAAGTGAGGAAGAGGAAGGACAGAAGGAAGGAAAAGGGGAAGGAGTAGCTTACTATACCAGGGGTTTCTCCATGAGGACATGGATCAATTCAGATCTCAGGCAAACTAAAGGGCCCCGATCTCACCCAAGTGTCAACCAAAGCTTGAGATGAAATATTTTACTTCTATAAAACTGATCTTCCACTTGAGTCTTTTATCTCAGAGGAGAGGGGTAAGCTCAGTATGTAAATGGGATTTTTCTCATCACTTTCTGTAGTGTTTCACCTACCACAGCGTACTTGCAGAGACGGCCAGGTGCTACAAGACAGACACACACCACACAATCAGCAACTCCTAAAGGACTATGCTATGGTCCCACCAAGTTTATGTGTTCAAGTTCTAACTCCTAATACCTCTGCCTGTGACCTTTTTCATGCAGGTTTAGTTAGGATGAAGTCACCCTACTGAAGTAGGGTGGGCCGTTAATGCAATATGGCTACTGTCCTTACCCAAAAAAGAAACCTGCACACAGACAGCCACACAGGGAGAAGGTCACAAGCCAAAAACCTGCCAGAAGCTGGTAGGGAGAAGCGAAAAGATCCTTCCCCAGCACCTTCTGAGGGAGCACGGCCAGCTGACTCTGGGAGCTATGAGACAATAAACACCTGTCATCCTAAGCTTCCAGTTTGCAGTACTTTGTTACCACAGCCTGAGCAAACTAATACAGACTATAAGAGGCTAATGTGCGCCAACCAGCCTACCCGCTTCACACTGCATTTCAGGTCCAGCTTCCTGCCCCATGGACACTGGCCGCCACAACGGTCCAGGCCCCACCCCCTCACTCTGGCTCCACCTCCACCTGCTTCAACTGCCAAACTCACCTGCACACTGCCATCACATTACCCTCTGAAAGATGCCAACTTCTCTGCATCACTCTGGTTAAAATACCTCCAGTGACTCCCCAGTTCCTATAGGAAGAAGCCCAGATTCTCCAGATTCTCCTGACTAGCACTCAGGCCTCTCTCTTCTAGGCTAGCTCCAACTACTAAGTGACCCTGGACCATGCAACCGTTATTCTTGATGCCATGCTTCCTCCCATTTGTCACTCTCCCCTTCAATAACCCAAATCTGGACCATCCCATGAATACCACTGCCAAGACCCATTTTCACCGGGAAGCTCTACATACTCAAGCCGACAGCAAAGACCACATCTCCGACCTCTGTGTGTTTACTGCTTGTATGAGTCATTCTGCGCTCGCCAGAGACAGCCTTGTCTGATTGCCCAGCATGTTAAAAGTGCACACCTGGATCCCACAGCTGGACTACAAACTGCTCAGGGACAGGGTTCCTGTTTTATAATTTGGGGGTTATTTCTCAAAGCCAAAGGCAATGCGAGGCATAATTTTAAGCAGGCTCTAGGTTCTTAAATCCTTACTGAATTAACTATTAAACATAGATTATAAATTCTTAGAAAGGTTACTTTTGGCTCTTCCTTCAACTGGGGACTTAAAATTGAATAAATCTAACATTTCATATAATCTTAATGGTTTCACATATATCCAAGTAATTTAAAACCTACAAGGACCAAGAGGGGAAAAAAAAACTCCTTAGGACTTTCAGTCCCAGGTAACTTACCATTCTTCATCACTACATTGGACCAGACGTTTGCATTCAAGGCTTGAATGATTCGCTTTACTCCTGTAGATTCTGGGAAGTCATCTAATCAGGGAGGGGAAATAGATATATTTTTACAAACATTTATACACAAATACGTATATACATGACTGTGTATGTATATATGTGTGCATGTGTGTGTGTATCTTCCAAGTCATACTTTTAAACAACTGTGGCTTAACTGTCTTATTATCTTGCTTCTTTAGTTGGTACTTCACACTGTGAGTTATGTAATAAAGAAAAAATAAATACAGAGCTTGGAGCTCCTGAAAGAATATCCTTGAAACTAAAACAATGAAATAAATGCACAATATAAAAGGTTTATATGATAAAGTCATCTCTATCACCTCACCAATGGAATCCACTCATATCCTCCTAAGAATGTTACTTCCTGTTAATTACACAATCCTGGCATAGCACTAGAAATGGCAATTTTGGTTATTTATAGAGAATGACTTCCTGAAGGCAGGAAAGCTCCTCTTGGTAGGCCATAAAATCCCGTAAATGCCCTGTCTTCTTCTGGGAACCACAGAATGCAATCACTGTTTATAACAGGTTTTAGAGAACAACTTCCTTACCAGAGAGAGACCGTTTAAGGATGAGAAATAAAACTACTGTAAGGGTAGGAGACAGGCAAAGGTCATTAAAAATAAAAACCAACAACTTAGTTTAGCTGGTTTAGTATTCGTACTATCGTGCTTCTGGAATTTAACTGATGCTACTCAAAATAACAGGGCAGTAGTCCCAGTTAGCATACCAAGAAGATGACATTCTTGGCTCGCAGGCATGTGTACAATGGAAATTGTACGTGAAAGACTGTATATGAAAAATAATGGCAGAAATAGTTTTCATGTGGTTGGAAGACAATGTCTCCTAAGAGCTTCCAGAGCCCCTCCGTGTACAACCTGTGTCCAGTGGCCTCGCCTGGCACAGAATTAGGAGTCAGAAGATCTGAATCTGAACTCAGGCTCTGTAACTTAGCTATCTGATCAAGGGCAAATCACATATGCCATTCTCAAAGAAAAGTAGGGCTGACACCATTCTGCACACACCTCCCCTAGAGGAAAGACATTCCAGAACTGATGAGTCACGGATGTAACTGCACCCCCAGACCCCCTCACCCAAGGCTGGTGGGAATCACCACCTAACATGGCGCCTGAAGGACAGCAGGCTCTCAGTAACTACTGATGGATGGATGAATCATCTAAAAAATACCAACCTACCAACTTAACAGAAAGAGGGTGAGGATTCAAATGAAAATACAAAGATGAATTTTATCACCATCATGTCTAAATGAGTAAACAAAAGGAAGGTTTATCTTCCCTATGAATGATTCTGTTCTTAAAAGAACAACTAATACCTCAGATGACAGATCCAGAAACCAAAACTGTGGTCTGAAATCAAGAGCTAGAACCAGTAAGATGGAAGTTAATCCAAACAAGCATGGTGTTAGAATACATGCATACAAAGTACACGGTTTTTGTCTTTTAAAACATCTAGGAAGGATTTAATCACTTCACCTAAAGAGGATACGTCAAGTCTATTTTAACATCAAGCTCAATTAATGCAAGAACATTGTTCAGACAAGGAGCCAGCAGATGCGTAGTGGTACAAGGGAGAAGAACTTACAAAATAAAAACAGATTTAAATAAATGACTCAAGCATTGACTCTCAAGGACAACACTGAGATGAGAAAATTCTAGTGCCAGAAATAAGTGATTATGTACATGCACAAAACAACGCACAAGTTTCAGGGGACCTAGAAAGGTGTGGGAAGAAAAATTGTTAACTTTCAACTATTATTAAAAATGTACAGTGAAAAAAATCGGCGTTTTTATTTCATGTTTGCCCTCTTCTCTGGCATGGTTTTATTTCCAAAGGCAACATTTTGGAAAAATTGCAATTAAACCAGAATAGAAAAAGATATTTCTTAATTTCTTTAAAAAAAAAACACAAAAAACCAAAAAACATAGGTTTCTAGGGTGCCTGGGTGGCTCAGTCGGTTAGGCGTCCGACTTCGGCTCAGGTCATGATCCCCCGGTTCGTGGGTTCGAGCCCCGCATCAGGCTCTGTGCTGACAGCTAGCTCAGAGCCTGGAGCCTGCTTCACATTCTGTGTCTCCCTCTCTCTGACCCTCCCCTGCCCAGAAATAATTAAAACATTAAAAAAACATTTTTTAAAAACACAGGTTTCATGTAATGATTGCTTATATCCTATCTATGTGCTTTAATCCATATTGGTTGTCTCTTAGAATACCTGTTTTAACAACTGGCATCTTCTCAGTGCTACACCCCTACTGGTCCCCTAACTACGAGCCCAGCACCTTTTCCATTTCTTCCCCGAGGAGCCAGTGACAGGTCAGAGTTCATGATGCCAACACAGTCTTTGCATTTCAAAACGGAAATAATCTCTTCTGTGTCTGAAATACCACAGCACCAATATATTTTTTTAATTGCTCATACACATGTGTATCTCTTGCACTAGGTTGTAAGGTTTTGGTCAGGCTAAAACCTGTCTTCCCTTGGTCAGTCCCACGGCAGGGAGCACAGGTGTAGGGGGGCAGGAGAGAAGGTAAGAAGAGGAATGAAGGAGGGGAAGAGAAATGGGGAAGAAACAAAAAGTCCAGAGTACAGTAAAAGGTGGTTAAGTGAAAAGCTATCCTGGGGGAAAGGGGGGAGAGGGGGGAGATTCTGGGTCTATTTTTAGTTTCAAATGTCCAAAAGACATAAAAATAGGACTGCCATGCCCCCTAAGGTCCCTGAGAATTTAGCCTTAGGATATGAGGAATTCACAATAAGGAATATTAACTATTTATGAATATAGGTCAAAACCTTTTTTTTTTTTTTTTTTGGCAGTGGAGAAAAGTATATGAGATTGGTGAAATGATTTAAGATTTTAAAGTAGAAATCCTCTATTTTCATCTGTAAGAAAAACACGAACAGTACTTTAAAAGGCCCAACATGCATGGTGAAGCCAAATAAATGGATTATTTGATTACCAGTAAGACCACATCAATGGGTATCACACAAATCTTTTCAAACAGCTGAGGAAAAGATGTTTTTTGAATTTCACTTTGATTTTTCTTCCCCAAATTAAAATACTCTCTCATATCTGAATCCAAATGTCTTGTTTCTCCTGACACATAAATACTCACCATCCTCCTCCGGCAACTCTTCCGGACTGAGCTCTACCAATTCAAAGCCATGTTTGATACACCATTCTTGAGCTTTCTGTCGGTTTACACCTAACATGCAGAAGAGTCTTTGTAAGCAAAAAATTTTTCAAACAGAATATTGCTGCAATACTCTCCATCAGTCTCAGTGCTGTCCTTAATATCAAGGTTATTCTAAAAGCACCCAAAATAAAGTAATATAAAGAAGATGATTTCTCGGGGTGCCTGGCTGGCTGTTGGTTAAGTGTCCAACTTCGGCTCAGGTCATGATCTCACGGTTCATGAGTTCAAGTCCCGCGTCAGGCTCTGTGCTGACATTTCAGAGCCTGGAGCCTGCTTCAGATTCTGTGTCTCCCTCTCTCCCTGCCCCTCCCCCGCTCACACTCTGTCAGTCTCTCTCTGAGAGACTGTTTAACATTAAAAAAAAAAAAAAAGATGACTTCTCAAACCAAAGTGTCCGTTCATGAAAAATAAAATGTAAGTACCCAAGATTCCAAAGAGAAATAGCTGAAAATATCTCCATAAAGTAATGACATCACAGGAGATGTACTAAGTTAAGAAAACAAAAGTACCTGCTCCCCGGGGCACAGTAACTGTATGTACCAACCATAGCCCCCCTGGCACGCTTTACCATTTTCACACACTCTGTCGCAGACCAAGATCATGACCTCAGGTAACCATGCTTCTGCCAGTGGAAGCCATGAGGAAACACTATCAAGACCAGATTTCTGGAGGGAGAAAAAACAAACACATAAACAAAACCAGAAAGAGAGACAGTAAGAGACTTCATGGGGGGGTGGGGGGGGGTGGAGCACAAAATAACTTCCTCCTCAAGGCCCCTGGAAAACCAATCTTACTTGTGTGCTGTCAAAGTAAACCACCAACGCTTGGACAGACTCTGCAACCTCGGCAGTGACGAGATGTTTGTGGGGCACCACACACAGATTGATCTCTGCTGAATAATATTTGTTATCAATGGTCCAGGGATAAAACCTCACGGCATCATCGGCAGTCGCTTCCACGAGAAGATCTTCTGCTCCAAGGATATCTGAACAAAATGACACCACGTTACCATGGAAAGTGCAAAACCCGACAGATACACAGCGGTCGAGTTTACCAGTAAAGTAATCAGACTAATGGGGTACTGTGGCTGCTTCTCTTTAGGTAAAGATTTCAAATGGCCTCCCATTTATCAGGGTATTTCCTTCTCTATCGTTTGATCATAAAAGTAATGGTGACATGACTGAACTCATCGGCTCTTTCTTTAAGAACACAAGAACGATTATGATTAGATCATACAGCAGACAACAAAAGGGCTATTTAACCAAACACCCAGAAAAGAACAAGCAGAAGAGAAAGAGTAACAGCTTACATTTATTTTATTGCCTACATACTTCGTGTGAGGTAGAAGATTACAAGAATCTTCAAGATTCTGGAACTATTCTGTACTTATTACAAGCTGAAAGGAAGATAGCAGTAAGGCTAAACCATTAATAAAATAAAAGCTACACATATTCCTTGGGCCAAATGCTTACACATTAATTCAACTAAAGATACACAAGGATGGATTCTGATAAATGACCCCAATTCCATTTATACTCGGCCTTATTCAGATTCTTCAAAAGCCAACTCAAATTTTTGTTTGATAGAGACACTTTGGGCATCATTTACAGACATAATAGGCAAGCAAATTTATTTAGGATGTAACTAAATCTTTCAGAAACCCATGTGCAGCATGGCCGTAGCTAATGAAATTCTTACAGTAGAAGCTACATCAATGATGAACAAATACAGATGAGGACACGGAACAACTGAAGCAGTTTGTTTCTGTGATGCCATAAAATATTCAGAAGTGGAAAACATTTGAAATTGTTCTACCATAAAGTCCCATCTCTCACATCTACACCCACAACCCATGTTTTATGTGGAAAGTAAGTTTAAAGAAGTAAAATAACAAGCCACTGAAATTAGGTTTTTATACGACTGTGTGGCGGGGTGCCTGGGGGGCTCTGTCGGTTAAGCACCCGACTCTTGATTTCAGCTCAGGTCATGATCTCACGGCTTGTGAGACTGAGTCCGTGTGGGGCTCCACACTGACAGCACAGAGTCTGCTTGGGATTCTCTTTCTCTCTCTCACTCTTCCCCTTCCCCTACTCTCCCTCCTCCTCTCCCTCTCTCTCTCTTTCAAAATAAATAAACTTTTTAAAAAGTGGCTTTATTTTTTTAAAAAGAGAATAGGAGCTCAGTCAGTTAAGCGTCCGACTTCGGCTCAGGTCATGATCTCAGAGTTTGTGGGTTCGAGCCCCACATCGGGCTCTGTGCTGACAGCCAGCTCAGAGCCTGGAGCCTGCTTCAGATTCTGTGTCACCCTCTCTCTCTCTGCCCCCCCCCTCTCGTGCTCGGTCTCTCAGAAGTAAATAAACATAAAAAAATTTTTTTTAATAAATAAAGAGAATATATGGCAAAATGGCCACAAACTGCTTTTCAATGCCAAGTAAGATGAATATTTTATAAAATATTCCTCAAACTCAGTTAGCCGGTCACAGAAAACTACAAGCTAAATTTTCAATTCCAGACCTAAGATTATGTATTTGAAATGCTGCCACAGTTTTTGCTCAAACAAAAAGATATGGGGAAATTATTTAGTCCAAAAGACTGCTAGGAATAATGTATAATAACTCAAAAAGCACGTATGTGCACATATGCATGCTTTTCACTGGTAAACTTTCTTCATGTGGTTATTAAAAGGAACCAGCCTGAAAATAAACCCCCTTTTTAAAAAAATTAAAATAACAAAATTTAAAATAAATTTAAGACTACATCTGACATACGGCACACACTGTGAAACTAACTTTCTAAAATTTTTCACCGCAACCAGAATTGTTACTCATAAATTACCCTAGGACTGTGCCAATATTTGAAAATCGGAATGTATCATGTCTGTTCAAGAAATCAGCAGTTCCTGCTGCTTAATTTCTACCTCAAGTGCTCTTGTATTAATTATCCATCAATTCCTTAGCAGCCAGCTGCGATGTCCTTTATGGAGCATTAGGACAAGTTCAGGTAGGAAATGAGCGGTAAGAACAGATCAAGTGTAAATAAAAAAATCAAAGATTCTGTTTTCATGTAAATGTCTCACAGGAAAAAAAAAAAAAACCAACCCTCCTAGATCAAAGTCTATGTTGCATTCAAAGCTAATCTTCCCAACTCCAAACAGGTGGCCCAGCAATATGCCGATAAAAGCACATATGGAAGAAGACAAACTAAAGCAAGGAGAGTAGCAAAAACTATATACACTGATTTTTTTAAGGGTAGGAGGAGCCACCGTATGGAACCAGTTTTCTTCATTCATGGGCAATGTTTTAAAGTAACGAATTAACTTTTTTTTTTTTTAAGTAAGGAAGCGCAGAGAGTAACATACTGAATCCACGTGTTGTTACAGGCAAAGAACAAGGCGTGGGGGACGAGGACATCACCACAAACGGCTCTCGGGATTTCCTAAACTGCTTGTACTGTTAAAGAATGGAATAAAATTTCAGCTACACGATTTTGAAATCATGGTCTGCAACTAACCCGAAAAAATAAAATCAATTAATGCATCACCTCCTTACCTAGATGAGAACAAAACCCACAGGCTGCAAAAACGAATTTCACCTGTCAGTGTTTTCGTAGCTGGGTGTGGAGGGGGTTCCTTACTCCTTGTGCTGCCTAGAATAGCTTGATGGCTCAACTTACTTATCAGATTCTTTATTTTTAACATTTTATGTCTAATCAGATACTTTCGGCGAGACTGCATATGGACTTTATGATCACATCTGTGTGCCATCTCCCAACTGGAGAAAAGTGAACGGTCTCATTCTTTTTGTCATCAATTTCATAATGTAGAGTTTAATTTAAAAAATGTAAATGTCTACACTAAATATGGCTTTTCTCACTCATCTTTTCTATTTGGTTTCAAATGTCTCACAAGTATTCTTTTCCAACTTCAGACAAAAATTGCTCAAAACGCTTACGCACATGACGAAGGGTTTCTGGAGATCAGCCAGTACCTTTCACTCATTTCACAGATGGGAAAACTGAGGGCCAAAAAAAAAAAAAAAAAAAAGCAGCAGCAGCCACCACTGGCCTAAAGAAGAGGAGCCTAAAACAAAATTCAGGTCACCTGCATTTTTCCCTACCACACTGTGATGGGATACTCATGATATTTAGCATCTGAGCTTGATCGCACTCACGTGTGTCTAATGGTCACAAGCCCAAGCTAACCTACGAGCCTACCGTATCTCCCGCTTTTTTAGGAAAACCAAAAATAACAGCCAGAACGAGGGCATCAGAATATACAAGCCTGATGCACAAATTAACCCATCTAAAAACGGTCTCTGGGTTTTGGGTATTTATGCATTGAAAGTGAGTTACAGTGATTGTGTGGGTTTTGTTTTTTGGTTTTTGTTGTTGTTTTCTGCCAGACTTCCTAGAAAAACCTGAAATGGTCTCCCTTCTTCGCCCTTCACTAAAACGAATTTTGATGTAGTCAAAGTGATGCGCAAATAAAATCAGGAGCAGCTTCTCCCTCCGCCTGGCGGACGCTGGCCCGTCTCGTTCCCGCTGTCGCCAGCCACCTGGTGGAGCTGCAATACATCATTTTGTAAGAGACAAATACTAGATGATTAATTGTCAGTCTGTTTCGGCAAACGTGGTCTCACAGTTTAAAACAGTGAATCTGTAGTGTTTTCCGATGAGAAGTTAAATGTCAGCCCAGTTTCAGTAGCAAGTATAAACCTTTCCCCCGGTTTTAAGTGCAAGTATAAATCTCTTGCCCTGTTTGAGAAGCTGTTATACATAGCCATCAATTTTCCTGCAACTCCTATTTACTTCTTGCTTCCTTTGTGAACTTCTTTCCCCTACAGTCCCACATGGCAAGTCAGTGACAAGAGTCAAGAGAATGGAAGAAAGCCATATGCCAAGGAAGCATGTCAGCTCAGCCACCCAAAGACTCCTTTGTCCCGCTCTGTCCTAATGTCACTTCCCTCAGAGAGTGTAAATGTGGTAAGCAGTCAAATCAGAGGGGGCAGGCGCACAGCTTTCCTTAGCTCAGAATCAATAAGAGGTGATACTCTATCTTTAGCACGAATTAAGAAGCAAACTGAAATTTCAAGGGGAATTCTGCCAACACCAAAAGTACGTATTTGCAGTCTCTCTCTTTCTCTCTCTCTCTCTCTCACGCACACGCACCACACATACTACCCTCACCTTACCCCTCATCTATCCACTCAAGACAAAAAAGACAAAACAAGTCCATTCTAACTTAAGTGCACTGATATGGCCTTAGATGATCCCTATCTTCTTCAGCAGCAGAATTAAGGACACTTTTGATAGTGGTAGAATTAATGCCCCCTTAACAAATCACGGTGTTCTTTGTGAAAAGAAGCTGTCCACTGGTTAAGTCATATCTTCTATGTCCAGAGGGAAATGATAGCTGCCACTCCAAATCAAGAAGATCCTTCTAGAAATCAGCCCTCTTCTGAGAATGCAGCTGGTTTTATTCCTTCTCAGAGAACCGAAGCTGCCTTTATGGGATGGTACCATACACCCAACCCCAGAGACAAACGTCTTTCATACTATCCACTCCTTTGGGGACCCAAGGTTCCTCTCCCTCCCCTCTACACTGCAGTACTGACTAGAACAGAAAAGGCCAAAAAATAGAGACAGCACAGACCTGGGGACAGACAGATGTGTATTTGAATGCTGGTTCCCTGTGAGAACGAGAAATTGACCTCTCTGGGTCTCATTTCCTCACCGGTAAAGGGACAAACACACTTCTCAAATGGCTTCTTGCAGATTAAATGAAATGATGCGTGAGAAGGTGCGGCCAGGCACTGGGCACTGAGTTGCCCCCAGTTAGTGTTCCTTTCCTGCTCCCCGGCTCAGGTGTCTGCCCATGTGCCACACCCCGGGCCAGAGATGCACCGGGCAGGGCTGGCACCAAAAAGCGCAGTTAGGAAACAACCATGTCCTTGAGCTGCTCCGGCCCCTCCCTTCCCAAAATATGCC